TAAGTATTACGGAGCTGAATGATAAATGGAGAACAGTGGCTGGGCTGAGAAACTCAAGACAGGAAATAACAGTGCACGCGAGGCTGAAAAAAATTACATTTGCAGGTAAGTGGAGTGGAAATTTATATTTACTGGGGAAAAAAAGGGCAAAACATTGTTTGTGTTATTAAAGGCGGAGTGAGAGAGAGCAAGAGCAACGGAGAGAGGCAATTTTCTTCCATCAAATTCATCTCAAGCTCTAACATGCAATTTCACTACGGAGCTTCAGGACAAAACAGAGGATTATGCCCAATTGTTTTGAGGGTTTGGATAACAAAGCATAAAAATCCCAATAAGTAGCCTTCTGTGCCAATGCAGACCAGAAAAAGGTTTCTATTAGTAAAAGTTACAAAAACATCCAAAAACTGAACTGCAATAAATATTAATTACCCAAGATAAAAAAATGTAGCTTTAGGTATTTGATATTTTCAGAGATATCTGTACTATTACAGACCATCTTAGAGGAAAACTGCTCATCGAGTTTGCCAAAGCAATGTTAAGCTGCATGAATACACCACACCTTCTTATTTTACCTTTTCTGGCAATAAAATTTTACAATGGGAAAGCCATTAGTGCTGTGAGAGTATGGAAATGAAGACAATTACATTTGTCCTATTATGAATGTTAAATAGGCTGTTATGATTGTACTCTCTATATGTAACATGATGTTGTAAAGCTAAACAGTGAGGCCTTCCCAAACAAAAAATCAATATATCTTTAGAAATGGTAAAACGTGTTATTTATTCCAGTCATATCTGCTCATAGCAGGTACGTTTTAGAATAGACTTAGCTTTTTAAAATATTAATACTTCCTGATTTTTAGCATTTTAGTTTTCCAAAGTAACAAAACCAGGTATGTGACATATGTCGCTAGCCATGATTAGCTTTTGCTGATATTAAGGGCCAAAAAAACCCATCCAGATCTGCTGAGTGGTAAACTCAAAGTTGGTAAAACTCTCTTTGTTTTGGAGAACCCTTATCATAAAATCCTTAAACACTGTTCAGTACTGAATTAACAACCCATAGTCCCCGCCAAAAGATGGGGAAACACAGGAGAGCTCATCTCTGCCCCGGGAGGGGGTTTGCTGAGCCATTGTGGATCCACGGGGAGTTGAGGTTTAGTTTTAACACATAGGGGTTCATCACCTCGCTTGGTACGCTGGCACCAAGCTGTGCGTGGAGACAGCATCATCTTGGCTTTGCCTTGAGCCAACAACCCTGCCGCAGCCTGACCCGCTGTGGGCAAAGCCAGCCCGCCTGCCTTCCCAGCCATGCTAGTCCAGGACCCCAATAAACCACTGCAGCCAGCCCTTCAGCTTCCGAGTGTACAAATAACCATCACAGCTGCTTCTTCAGCTCCGGGAACAACACCACGCTCATGAGCTTCTATGCACAATCACATCTCATTTGAAAATTAGCACAATTTCCATGTTTTTTTATGTATATATAGTCCAACACTTGTGATTAAGAAACACATGTAGTCTCGAAAACCAGTACAAATTACTTCTTTCATCTGTCTACTAGTTCTTTACAGATCTAACTCAAACATCCCCGTTTTAGCTGAGCAGCTATTAAAGCACGTGGTGCAGAGTGCCAGCACGCAGCATAACCCCGGGTCTCCAGCACCTAATCCTGCTACATCCCATTCCCATCTGCAGGCTACAAGGATGTGTTAATGTCAGGTCAGGATTTTCCCCACCAAGGGCAACATGACTGGCTTGATTTTGAGGGTGGAGATGCCCAGGCAAGATACTCAGGAAGGTGCTGGGAGCCAGAGGGACCAGGAATGAAACCAGGACCAGAGAGATCCCAGTGGCAAGTGGAGAACCACAGAAACAACCTGGGTAAAGAAGTGAGTCAGGCTGATGGATATGAGGGAACTGCAGGAAAACAATGACTGACTGTGACAGAGTCTGAAACAAGCTTCGCTTTTTTATCTTTTCTTAATTCCTCCCACCCCCTCCCCCACCCTGCCCCGTCAAAAGCCTACATTTTAATTCAAGGAGGCCTTTGATTCTGCCAGAAAATGTCTTCACATGGAACATCTTCTGTTTCACCTAGCATGCAACCCTAGCATAGCCATTCCTGTTGTCAATACATCCGAGGAGTATTTCTGCTTTATAATGCCAGCCTTGCTCAAGTTTTGAGTCCTGCTTAAGCCTCAGGTTGAAGCTGAGCAGACGGTGATTCACTGACAGAGCCCTGTCTCTCCCACAGATACCCATGCTTGTACCAGCCCATCTCCACCTCTCTCTTTAAACAGAAAAAAAGCCTGGGACCCTGGCCACAGGACCCCAGTAAAAAAATGACAATTTGCCTGGTGTCTGCCATGTCCTCCCGTTCTCTTTATCTGCTTGCATGACCTTTTTTTTTTTTCTCTGACTCAGAAATATTGCAACAGCAAAGGCAGAGATGGCACCACATCAAAGAGCCTAAGTTATAAGGGAAGCAGTTTTATTTTCACTTCAGCAGAGATTCTTTTTTTTCTTCTTCAAAATACCTTAAAATACCTTAAAAAAGTAACAGTAGTGATAATGGACTGAAAAATTTGATGGCATCTGAATAACATAATTGAAGCACAAGTATCAGAGCATAAGATAACCCACACTGCAGCAGTTCCCAGGGAACCGACTATAATGACATTCAGGTTATACATCTCATCTGGGTCGTGTTTCTGAAGGAGATGTGAATTAGCAGCCCTGTGACAATACAGAAATGTGGGATTAAGAAACAAGAGAGGAGGGAAAAGGGCCGGTCGATTCTGCCACCACCTTTTCTTGTTCCTAAAATTTCCGTTGCCTGGAAATGCCTGATGAGAAGACGGGATTATGTAAGCGCTTGCCAACTTTTCACATGTTAAGACAACTAAAGCCTGAGTGATGGGTAGCTTAACCCATCTTCTAAGCAGTGAACTAAAACATGTTTACTAAGGAGAACTCGAACAGTGAAACCCCTTTAAAAAATCCAGGAGTGACGAGGACCTGACAATTCCCAGGATTAAAAAGCTGCATACATTACAGACAATGTAATCTCCTTATAGTAAGATGAGGAAAAGGAAAATAAAGCCTTTTTGGTGTGCAAGATGGTTTTTGTTTTAAATTACGTATATCCTGTCTGATTGAAGACTTTTTTGTGTTATTTTCTTTTTTTTCTCCCAAAAGATACGACAGAGAAGAGAGCTATACGAGCCCTCCAACTCCATATTAAGTTTTATTTTCCAACAAACCCACTGCTCCCATCAAACATCACCCATCAATAACAAAATAATAAGCACTGTGCTGTAGAAATGTCTCTTCCTAAATTTAATCAGGCTAACACTTAGGTGCTACAAGAAAGCAGGCACTAACAGAAGTACAAAATATCTCTATCTAGTTTTGAATACAACTTCAGCGACTGTGTCATGTCAGCAGACCTAAGCTTTCCTGAACTCTTCCTCGTTGTCATTCAAGTGGCATGTTACCTTCTGCAAATACTCTAATTTAAATACAGCTGACGGCTAGTTTAAAATTTAACCTGCTAGACTTTTTCATTTTTTATCAAAAAAACCTGAGAATTGTGCTCATTTTTCCTTTTTCTCTGTTTATCAACAAAGCACTGGGGTCTCTAAAATGAGCAAAAAATTCTTGCAGTCACACCTCTTCCAGTTCAAAACAAACGTGCTTACATTGGCGATAATGCTAAATGCACTATGGATGCTGCTAGGAAAGGTGATCTTCTCAGCAATGTTTCTGAGGCCCTAAAAAATCCCAAAATCCTGCTGCCAGCTGAAGTTGCGCTGTCCACTGGAGCATCAGCAATGCAAAATTGCAGGTAGCAAATACCTAATCTGGAGACCAAAGCAGAAACCATGTTGTGTGCTGCTCAACCACTGCTCGAGCAACGAAGTAAAGACAGAACACAGCAAAATAAACTCTTCTATTTACTACAGGAATGCATCTGTAATGGTGTAATGCAAGTATGTGTGTCTAGAAGAAGGAATATAAAGTATCCAGGTTGCCTGGAGCTCACTTAGATCTTCAGGAAAAAAAAAAAATCACAAACAGTGGATTTTTGTACAGCTGCCAAATGATGGCTAAAGGCAAATCCTCAGCTGGTGATAATGGTTACGGCTCCACTGAAATCTGCTGATGATGTTCCCCCTTCGGTCTTACTGATGGAGGGAAAAAACCAATCCTACGTGAAGAAAAGCTGCAATGAATGAGTGGAACCAGATGTGAAATTTTGCACCCAACTATAATTGTGAGATGTCTTCAGAAAGTTAAATGGAGCAAAGCCCCAGTCAGCCAATTACAAAATTGACATTCCTCTCCTCTTCCTTAGAAGAGAAGAAACGACTTCTCAGAAATGCCAGAAGTGACTCAACTGTGATTTTTAAGCCGATTCAACAGCATCCTAATTATTTCAAGTAGTACTAAGAGTTTACCTGAGATTTCCTTCCTGTAAGTGGAACTATGAGCCAGCAAGGTGCTCAAATCGAGGAAAAAGAAACACACACAAAATGATTCTCGTGACCGCTGTGTTATCAATATATTGCTTTTTCTATTCCAACCTGCCTTCCCTGTGAATTTTAAAATATGTAAAACCAAAAAGCACAGAGCAAATAATATCTACATAAGTAGGTCATTTTCTTAATGGCAGCGCACTGCTGGTTTACTACCAACTCATTTGCAATATAGACACATGCATTTCAAAGTGCGTGTATTCAGATCTGCAAAGGAGGTGAGCGAGTATAATCGTGGAAACACTCACTCCAAGATCAAGTAGAGCCTAATTCAGAAAGACAAGCAGGAAAAAGTCTTATTTTGCACCTTCTATGCGAGCTTCGCAGAGAGTTACGACATTTTGAAGAAAATCCTCTTGGCGTGTGTAAGCTGTAGCTTGAATGTGCTGCACGTTGCATATTTCATTACAAAAGCAGAGCCACGTTATTTCATTAGATAAGCGATAAGTTCAATCCTTACCAAGTTTTCTTGGTTCCTGGCTGCTATTTTCTGATCATCTTCTCCCCCATTTTTCATGTATTTGACCTCTTCCACTGGTTTGATCCTATACTCATCTGAGCACCAAGAAAAAAAAAAAAAGAAAAAAAAATTTTGAACCACTGTAGTTCAGCAGCTGGGAAAAAAACCAAACTAAAACCAAAACAGCTGACTAGAAAAGACCCTAATTAAGTAAAGCAACTAAAAATTACACGTTTATAGTTTCAAAGGCTTAAATGTGACTGATACCAAGGAAGCTTTTCCTGACTGAAGCTTCAGTAAGAATTTCCAGTTCTGGCTTCCAGAAATTGTTCAGTAGCTCTCTGGTCTAGTATAGCCATGGCACCACGAACAGGGGATGTTCGGTATGTACTCTCCCCCAAATCCCTAGTTTTCTGTATAACACAAACAAGTTTTTCACTCCTGCATCCTCCCTGAATTTTTATCATCAGTGGGCAAACAAGCAATGTACAGTCGTTACTACAGAGAGGATGCTGCTCATGGATATTCCTTGCATTGAAAAAACCTCTTCTGAAAAGCAGTGGTGATGGAGGATATTTAAAATTTAAGTTAAAAGCTGGAAAAAAAAAACATACCAAAAACCCCTGCTTTTTTTTTTTTTTTTTTTCCTGTACTGTTTTAATGGAGCTAAAGCAAAAGGTACACAATGCACAGACATATAATGATTTCTGGAGAAAAGGCCCCATGTTGACCGTCTTCCTCTCCCCCCGCCCACCCCCAATGCCATTTTTACTGCACATGAATGTTACCCAGACAGAAATCCATCCTGAAAATAAGTAATAAGAAAATTAAGATTCCTGGTTTGCCCTTAATATTTATCAGCTAGGCATTTCAGCTCTTCAAATAATAAATTCCCAGCTCCAGTGCCAGTATGGAAATATTATCTAACATACATGTGCTATCCCACAGGAAAGTAAACAGCCTCACCCAAAGCTTGCATAAAGGGTTTTTTTTCCTTGGTAGGACAAGATGGGATTTGAGGAAAAGTGATTCTTCTCTCTAGCCTGTGAATGCAGTGCTTGCAGCACCAACACTGCCTTTTCTCAAGCGCTTTTTGCTCTGGTTATCTTTGTAGCACATGAATCTATCAAAAAAAACACCCAGAGTTTTGCACCCACACTCTTCCAGCCAGGATATATCATGCAGAAGAGAAACTTTACCCCACGTAAGCAGAAAATGTTAATACAAAATGAAGTGAGACACAGTACACTGGGACTAAAAGACAAAACCTCGGCAAATTAAAAGAAAACTTTATTCTTTTTCTTTGGGTTTTCAAGCAATTTATCTCACTTGCTAAGGGAAAAACAAAACACAAATGGATTTTTCTGGGTTACTGTATTGTTAAAAAAAAAATCGAAACTATTTAAAAAAAAGCTTGTTTTCAGGAAACTGTTAACCACAGAGTGTATAAGCTAAATAAGCCTAACTTTGAAAAACAATCTTTTTTTAATAAATACAACATGGTTTTTCATTTGGCCTAGTCTGCATCTATATGCTTTTTTTATTACAGAGTTTAAATAAAACAGTTAATTTATCAAATAGCAGCATCTGAGATGCAGAGTCTCAAAACAGATGGAAGAATTTAAGACAATATTATTAGATTGCTAAATGTGAACAATAACTCTGATTTTTTTTTTCTTTTTTAAATGGAATTTAGGTTATCTGGAGGTGACAATTCATAAAACCAAAAAGGCTGATCACAATAAAGCCTGGGAATTAGAAGTACTTGATTGAAAGCAATATCTAACTCACATTTTTCTCACTCCTTCAATGATCTCTGTTGTGATTTGCAATAAAACCCACATGCAGAAAAAGCATGAAACTCCCACAGTTGCATGTACGGATTTGAATAGGAAAGCAGATAAGAAGGAGAAAATAGCACAAAGGAAGTTTGCACAACCCGTAGCTATTCCACATTAACTAAAAGAGAGGCATGTTCAACCCAGCCTTGTAAAAAACAAGTAAGGTATGGAGGTCCTGATGTTCAATGGCAAAAATAACCTCTGAAATGTGTCTCCTGCTTATTCCAAAAGATTAACTGTGATCAAACACTGAGCACACTCCCGGGCATCAGACCGTCCTATGCGGACTGTATGTAAGGGATGCTTCCTTGGAAGACATCGTTTCTTGTAGCAAGTAGACCAGGGCACTGATGAGCCCACGACTGATAATCAGCATAATCAGATTTATATATGAAAGTTTGATACAGTTCAATAGGATGAAGGCAAGATGGGAAGGAGGGTTTTTGTTGGAAACTTAATTCTGTATGTCTTCTCTAACTGATTGTAAGAGAGTGCTGCCTGGCATTGCTGCTCAGGTGTCTGAGCTGAGGACTTGCTGGTACCTGGCTTCCCAATATGCATCATCACCATCATGACAACATTCTTGTAATTATTGCACCATTACTACTTACAAATTTGTGCTGCTTTTACCAGGTGAATAGAATAGAATAGAACAGAACAGAACAGAACAGAACAGAATATTTCAGTTGGAAGGGACCTACAACAATCATCTAGTCCAAGTGCTTGACCAATTCAGGGCTGACCAAAAGTTAAAGCATGTTATTAAGGACATTGTCCAAATGCCTCTTAAACACTGACAGGCTTGGGGCATCGACCACCTCTCTAAGAAGCCTGTTCCAGTGTTTGACCACCCTCTCGGCAAAGAAATGCTTCCTAATGTCCAGTCTAAACCCCCCCAGCGCAGCTTTGAACCATTCCCAGGCATCCTGCCCCTGGATGCCAGGGAGAAGAGAGCAGCACCTCCCTCTCCACGTCCCCTCCTCAGGAAGCTGTAGAGAGCAATGAGGTCGCCCCTCAGCCTCCTTCTCTCCAAACTAGACAAGCCCAAAGTCCTCAGCCGCTCCTCACAGCACATGCCTTCCAGCACTGTCACCAGCTTTCTTGCCCTCCTCTGGACACATTCAAGTGCCTGAACGTCCTTCTTAAATGGTGGGGCCCAGAACCGCATACAGTACTCCAGGTGGGGCCGCACCAACACCGAATACAGTGGGATAATCACTTCTCTTGACCGGCTGGTCGCGCTGTGTTTCATGCACCCCAGGATGCGGTTTGCCCTCTTGGCTGCCAGGGCACACTGCTGGCTCCTATTGAGTCTGCTGCCAACCAGCACCCCCAGATCCCTTTCTGCAGGGCTGCTCTGCAGCCACACTCCTCTCCTAATTTATACTTGTGTCTGGTTATAATACCTGATGGAAGGACAGTAGAAACTCCGATAGCATTACAGAATTATTCATGATTCAAGTTGTTGTATCATATAATTATTAGTGTAATATATAAAATCAAGAAAAGTCATAAACATAACTAAAAAGTTCTAAATGCCTTCACAAAACACATACTACTCTTTGACTTTGGAGCAGTCTTCTCTCCAGTATTCTTAGCAAGATTATGGCCATCTCATGAGACAGAGAAAGCAGCCTCAGCCAGAGGATGATTGAATCTCTGCTTACTCTCCCAACCCTGATTAGCCCGACCTTCTGAAGTAGCTATGCTCTGCTCTTCAGCCACTTCTTCACCCAGTGCACCATGTACCTCCTCATCTCACAGTTAGACAACTTGTCCAGAAGGATGCTGTGAGGGACAGTATCCAACTCAGAGGACCAGGCAGCCCAAGGTCTGTCAGTATTATTAAAGATTGAGGCAAAAAAAGCATTGAATGCCTCTGCTTTTTCTTCATTCCTACTAATCAGGTGGCCATCTTCAACAAGTATCAGTCCAATGTTTTCTTTAGACCTCCTCTTGCTATTAACTTCCACAGAGATCTCCCTGAATTGTGTAGGATTCATAAAGAGAATACATGTTAGAGAACCCATGGACAGAGTCAGGCCAGGTGAGGGTACGGATTACAATGTGGACATGGGAAATTTAAGGAATGCTTGAGCTACAGTATAATTTGAGAATACTTGAGGGTACCGGGCAACCTGTTCCTACTCTTTGTGGTTGTGTGAATTTCTGGGCCACAATTCCTTTCCAGCTTCGGCACCACAAAAGTCTTTTTAGAGATCATTATCAACAGAAGTTTTCAAAAACGTAATTTTAAATTCACATTGAACATGGGCACAGATCCTTCTAATACTGCATAACTTGCCAGATGCCTCAAGTAGCCCTGAAATGGCAGCAAAAAACTTTGCACATATTTCTTGTGTAATTTCCGTAGATATTTACAACAGGGTTAGTAAACATGCTTTCCCCCAATACTTTACTTATGAATACAGTAACTACTCAGTTAGCTGTGCAGTGTAGCACAGTTGGTGTTACTCTTCCCTCCATGCTACCAACTGCAGAAGTGCAGATGCCTGGACAATTCATGCCTGATACACGCAGCAGCAAGAAAGTTTCCAAAAATAAAACAATCATTTTTCACTACATTTTCAGGACAAGTTGAATACACTATGCCAACCAGCAGGTCTTACTTCAGAGAAATTCACCTTCTCCTTAGGAGAATATAGATAAAAGAAATTCAGGAGGTCAAAGTAGAAGACACCTGCTTCTGTAGATGTTAGTAGAATTACTCTTTTAATAGAAAGTGTCTTACAAAATGATTATTAATGTCATTATTATATGGCATATGGCTCTATTATATGGTATGTGTTTGGGCATGAGAAATCTCTACTTGTATCTCAAAAAGCAATGTAAATTTGACACGATCTACCACTGACGACCTGCCTTAGAGGCCAAGAGACTACCTCTTGGGGATGCGGCACATGAAGGAAGAAGCAGTCTGAGTGGCCAACACTCAGGCTTCAGTACCTAAATAAATGATTAACAGAGGGAAGTGCCAAGCAGATAGCAACTCCATCAAACCCACATGTTTTGAGCAAGCGGTGCACGTACCAACATCAGATAAACAGGCCAACACAGTGCTGGCCTGTGGAAAGCAAGCTATCAACCTATTTCAGTTAATGGGAGCAAAAGAGAGGACTGAGCCATGAACAACTGTTTTATCAGATACACACAGAGATGAAGGGAATGGATCAGCAATGTTAAGTTTGAAGCAATATTATTACTCATAAGCTCTCATAATTTCCTATCACAGG